GTGTGTGTGTGTGTGTGTGTGTGTGTGTGTGTGTGTGTGTGTGTTTTAGATTTGCACCACAACAGCCCCTGCTACCCAGATGAGTAGATAAAAAATAAAAGCAAATTTACATCTATTCCACACAATGAAGCACACTTGAGATGAGCCAATCCAACAATGAAACAGTTTTACCTCTATAGCAAACAACACGGAGCACGTAGATAAATTATTTCCCTTCCTTAAATATCTTTACGTTGGTTCTCTTTGGGGTATCCCCTTTATTTGTCCTTGCAGCTCCCCATTTACTATGCCTCTCACGTACAAGGCTGGCCACGCTGGGGTACCCTTTTTATTTGTTCTTGCAGCTCCCCTTTTGCTTGCCTCTCACGTACAAGGCTGGCCACGCTGGGGTTCCCCTTTTATTTGCTCCTTTGGGAGTCTTACTGCCAAGCTCTATCTCAATGCGGTGTTGGATAGGACACGGAACTACTCCTGATGGAGCCTCTAATAGGTCTGCGTACTCTTCCAACAGCTTGGCAATAAGTGGGTTGGTGGGCTCTTCTTTCTTAGGCTCAGTGATTGGCCTCACATAGGCCACAAAGACCTGCTCTTCTAAGTGCTCCTTTACTAACCGTGCGAACGCGGGACCACTGAGGCAGCAATGTGCAAGAGGGTTATCTACCCCTGACACGTGGAACAGGCGGGCCGTCTTGACACCACCTGAGGGACTAGGAAGCCTACACTCATGCTCTCTCAGATGTAGTATGGCTCCTGCTGCCTGTCCCCAGTCCATTCCTAGGACCATATCAAATGGGAGATTGTCCTCTACGAGGAGAGTCGGGGAATGGAAAACTTTCTCAACCTTCCCACCTTTCTCTACGCGAAAGTACGCATGGACTCCCTCGACGTAATCCTTGATTCGCATTGTGCGATTATCTGCGAGGATGCTGACTATGGGCTCATCCAACTTTTAGACTTTCAAATTGAGCCTTAGCTTCTTCAGCGCTCTAAGGCTAATATATCTACGGGTGGCCCCACTATCTACAAGGGCCCCTACCCTGCCTCTGAAAACTTCTACATCTACTAGTACTAGCTACCCTTTCCCATCTTTCTTCATCTTGGCCCAGACTGGCATCCTCTCCTTCAACTCTTCGGCCAGTCCTGTGAGGGATGCACCTAGAGAGACCCTAACACAAGTAGTATGTGGACAACTAACTAAACGCTGGGCAGCAACCTCTGCCATAGGCACATGTGGGTTGGGAGTTTCTACTTGGCGTGCGCACTCGTCTCCACATGGCCTAGGGGTAAGGGCAATCGCTATCCCTATCGGCGGTTGCCTTTTGCTGACTCTGCAGCAACTTTTCGGGCATTCCTATATTTAGGGCAATATTTGACAATGTGCCCTGGATCACCACAAAACACATATTGCCAATTATCTATCCTATCCTGCCAGTTCTTCTTTCGATGCCCAAGGTTTCCCAGGGCCTGCCCTGAGGAAGACAAGGGTGCCATTCACCCCTTCTGGGAGGTGACCGATTGGAACGTGGACGGTTTGACAGGGGACCTTGACCCCTTCCTCCCTCTTGGTAGCCTCCTCTGCCACCAACCCCCTCGCCGCCCTGTCCTCCACCACAAGAGGCCCGACCCCCTTGGCCCCGGCCTCTCCCTCTTCCTTGCGGCCTCCCTCCAGCCGCGATAGCAGCGTAGGTCCTCCCCTGACCTCCACCATTGTCCTCTTCCTCGAGGCCCCACTCGATCTCATTGTAGGGAACTTCCTCCAAACCACCCTCATCTAACGTAAGAATTAGGCTATCTTTAGCGTTGACTTAATAGGTGATGGTCCGACCTTTCCACTTTTTGCCCTTGTCAAGATCCTTGTGCCAGAAAGTGGTAACTGGCATGGAATAGGCCTTGTACGCAACAACCTCCCTGCTAAGTGTATCCGAAGTCATATTGGGCTGCTGCTTTTTGTAAAAGAAATGCCCGTGCAGAGCCTCGGGCATGGCACGATAAAAAAGTTGGGCTAGTTGGGGCTCAGTAGCCCCATGTCCAGGGACAGCGATTAATTCATCCATGGTGGCCTTGAGTGCTCTTGCACTCCTCCACTGTCGCGAGTGGATTGTTTGCAGTTTGTCTGAGGGTCTAAGGCCCCTAGTGACATTTGCAAATCGGTCCCGGAGGGCAGTCACGAATTCGTTCAGGTGAGGAAGGGAGGAGTATGTGACCATATCATTGTCACAGTTGGCAGCACGAGCAAGCGACCTTGCAAAGCTGGCCGCTTTATCCTTCAACACCTGGAATGTCACAAGAACTTGCTTCTCAGGCGGGGTAAGTTGGAGGAGGATATAGGAGTTGATATTAGCTTCCCAATGATCAAAATCATCTCCTTTCTTCCCTCCATAGGGCTCAAGGAATCTAGCCTTAATACGCTCGTGACTAGGTCGTGCCTCTTCCTCCTTTGAGGCAGCTAACTTGGCACCTTCAATGGCGCCGACTCAAAACCTCCCAGTGCCTTCCATAGCCACATGCAACTAAGTGCCCACACGCATCATCATATCCCTTGAAAAATCATTGAAACCTTTGCGCATGGACTGCAGGGCAATATTGTGGCCTCTTTGGTAACGCAATTGTTCTTGTTGGGCTCTCAACACTACCTCCATATTCTGGGACAAAATTTGTATTTGCTACTTGAGGTCTGTCTGTGCTGCCAATTGCCCCCTTCGCTCTTCAATGGTCCTCAAGTCATTTTCCATCGTCTCGGCTGCCGCCAATCGCCTCCTCCTTTCCCTAGTAAGGCGCAACTTTCATTCCAACTTTTTATCCTCCTCCATGGTCTGTCGCTGCAAGG